ATATACTTACTGTCGAGATCTTCTCCCCAGTAGTTGGAGCCGCATAAATGACAAATGGTGTGCCTTCCTTGGACGATCTTATAAACGCTCTTGCTCCAATAAATAAGGATTTCTCTATTCGGGGTTTTCTACTAGGCTTGCTCTTGGGTGGTTTTGTAGAAAAGGTCATCTTCCGCAATTTCCAATTTATAGATGGGTTATGCTTTTCCATCAGGAAAGACCAAGAATAACAAAATTTGATAGGGTTCTAATAATATTGAAAATAATATGACTACTATGGCCCTTAAACGTCACTTCTATAGATTCTGATTCATGGGTGACACTACCGGACAATAAAGGTCGTCCATCTATGACCTCAACGTGAACAAGTTTGGATTTTTGTACTAAAGGGATCTTATGATGCTTCGTAAATTCTTCGTCTAAGAAATAAGCAAATGCTCCTGAATCTAATAATGCTAAGGTTCTCAGTTTTTGAGGGCCAATAAGCAAAGGGATTGTAGAACAAAGGGCAAGTTGAGCGGAAAGAAAGGAACCTGGTTGTTGTTGTGATATTTCACTGTCCAGTTGCACGGTTCTTATTGTGGCTGGGCATCCTCGTTTTCTTGAATAAATGTGCCCCTAGTCTTGACAATACGTTGATTTTGCTCGTTGGGGCAGTTTCTAACTTTGTGGCCTTCTTCACCATAATACAAGCATAGACTTTCTTCCATACGTCCCTTTTTTTCTTCTAGAGTAAGGGATTTGACACGTACTGCATCAATATGCATGTCTTCTACTTCTGAATGTGAATTCATGCTGCTTGCCGACATAGTTGGGACGTGGTGAATCGTATGTTGTCTTAAACATTGAACTTGGTGACGTTGGAATAGACGATTATCACACTTCATAGCTTGGCTAATAGCTTCGTTGAGCGTTTGTGGATCAGGAAGAGTTAACAGCAAATCCTTCACATCGTCCCTTAAACCCCAATAGAATTGACTCATCAACGCTTCTTCGTCCCAATTGATGTCGCATGCTAATTGCCTGAAGTCCGATGCATAGACTGATGTAGAGCGTATCCCTTGCCGTAGTGACTAGATCTTTGTTGTAGCCCATCGAACCTTGTCATGTTCACCAAATGCTTTTGCAAACGCCTCCAAAAAGGTTTCAAAGTTGTTTAGTATGGACTATCGTTTCTCAAACAAAGGAGCAAACCATGATAGAGCTTGCCCTATGAGTAAGGTTCCAACAAGCCCAACACGTGACTCCTCCGTTGGATAGCGTTCGGGCTGTAAAACTGTTATCAACCTGATTTGGTTGACAAATCCTCGAAACTTGGAATACGTACCATCGAACTTGTCCGAAAGGCTAATTCGGGGCTCCTTATGTTGTAGAACCAGCGGTGCTTGTCGAACGTGAGGCAAAGTTGCTTCTCCAAGTACAAAAGTTTGAGGCTGGTGCAACCTAGATTGTGCCATCCTAGATGCTCCATCATTATGAAGCCTTGCCATGACTCCTTCAATCTCTGCAGTTCTTTGCGATAACGTAGCGAGGGCATTCATGATAGCATCCAACTTGAACTCTGAACTTTCTATCATACTAATGTCTTGGCCCCCGGCCATTCTAAGAGAAGGACAGAAATGACTCTACAAGAAGACAATATTGGTTTAAAGGAAGGTACTCCGCAACCTCTAAAATGCCTTAAGAGCTTCAAGAAAAAGGGTAATCCACTCTCTCCAAGAAGAATAAGACTCCAATATTGTAACAAAAGAAGTATCAGTTTAGAGGAGGGTAATCCGCAACCTCTAAAATGCTAGTATACTTCTAAGCAGAGGGGTAATCCACACTCTAACAAAGAAGAAACTAGCTCTGATATCTGAGGTGAGTGATGTCTTGACAAACTATCACGGATACAAAAATAGAGACTCGAAATCTAACAAGAAGTTCAAGAAGAACTGGAAAGAATTAGATTAATCAGATGAGAACAACACCAGAGAGGTGAACTAGAGCTCCAAGAGATGTGTTGTCGAGACTGAAAAACTCTTTAGCCTCGATTCCAATATATACTCCTATTTAGGAAGCTTCTCAAGCAACTTCTACTAATTAGGAAGCTTCTAGAAGGTTCTAGAAACTTATCTCTAGCAGGTTCTAAGGACTATGTCCTTAACATCTTCTACCAACTAAGAAGCTTCTAGAAGGTTCCAGAGACTTACTTCTAGAAGGTTCTAGAAACTTGTCCCTAGAAGGTTCTAAGGATTATGTTCCTAACAATAAGAATCTTAGCTGGAAATTTAAAATGATATATGAAGTTCTTAGCCAAATTTTTATCAATATATTTCTTGAATTTAGCCAACTTATTCTGTGATAGGCTATAGATTGGTATAAATAGTAGTTGAACCCTTTTTTAAAGATCAATAGAATAATCATTAGGACAATACTCTAAAAAAAATATTTGCATTCTTCTTTTCAAAGACATCTTGATAATTTTGGTATTGGCTTGAAATGCCATTTAAAATCTTATTTTTATCAACAATAGGTGTGGAGTATATAACAAAAGTTGAATCTTCTTTTGTAGCATGCATGAAAATTCTCACACCTATCAATAATAATTTGGATGTATTGGTCTTATGAATTTTTATTTGTTTAATAGAATCTTGAGCTAAATTATAGAAAAAATCAAGATTATAAGAAATCCACTCTATTTAAGAATTATACATTTTTAACCACAATAATCTTAAAATAATTAGATTAGAAAGAAATCTAATCATATTAAATATTATTAAGTTATTATGACTAGTACTTGCTACTTTTACAAAAATAGTTTCATGTATAACATCTTCAAAAGATAATAAATGGCCATCTATTATTTTTACATGGAAAATTTTGATATTCTTAATTAATGACACATCTTATTTTTTAATAAAGTCTTCATCTATAAAATAGATTAAGGCTCTTAAATCCAACAAAGCTAAGACTTTGTGATTTTTTGGTCTTAAACAAAATACTATTGTAAAAGAAGGTGAGGGATATAAAGAGATAATAGGATCTTTACTAGGAGTTGTATAAGATTCTAATCACACAGTCCCTATTGTAGCTAAAGAGATTTGAATAAATGGCAAAATAAAACATATTGGTATCACAACTTTCAAAGAGACTTTCAATGCTTGGTAATTTTATTGGAGGTAGAAGCAACTCTTGATGGTATTACAAATGTTTTATTTGAAAGAAGTTATATAGGCCTCAAAAATGATCAAATAACATCATGGTCTTCCTTCCTTATAATGAAACATTATCAATAGTTGAAAGGACCTATCAACTACCTTCAAATGGAATAATGATCAAAGTATGTGGCAAATAGAATTTGTCACATCTTAGACTTTATCAACATGTGATCACTACTCTTTATAAAACTTGTTCCTAAAAAGGGGGATAATGTCACAAATATATATATATATATATATAATTATTTAGATTATATAAATAAATAGAAGTAGGTAAAAGTAGGTTAATTTGACAATATCTTGTAGAGAAGCTTCCTAGAAGCTATATACAATTTTCCACAACATTATATTTTTATGTTGTCTAATTATAATAAATAATAAATAATTATTTTTTATTTATTATTATTATTTTTTTATAATAAACATGATATAAGTTAAGTTTTTTTTTTAAAATACAAGATTTTACAAATAATAAAGCCAATTGCAATAAGTGGTATTTTGAAATTAAAATTATTTTTTTAAATGATAATCAAAATTTTATCTTAATTATTTCTTAAAGCTAAAAATACCTTATCAATCACAATCAGTTCAATTGTAAATTTTCTACACATGTCTGATGTTCGTAAGTCACTTAAATCTAATTAACTAAAATTGAATTAATGTCTCCTTATTCTTTCATCTACAAATTCAGATTTAAATGAATAAAAGTTATCATTTTAAGATGTGATATGTTGAGAAGGTGATTATTATACATATTATTGATAAATTATTATTTTGTTATATATGCAATATATTTTTATTTTTAAACTTAATTTATAAAAACAAAATTTTAAAAATAAAATAAAAATAAAATCTTAAAAATAATATTATTTAGAAAAACAAGCTTTGTTATCATAACCCAAATAGAGTTTTCACCTAAAAGACAAGGAGCAAGGACGAAGAATGGGAATGGAGGATACGACAAAGAATGGGAATGGAGGATTAGAGATAGGAGATGGAAATAGTGATAGGAGATAGAATGAATGAGTAATGAAATGGTAAGAGAGAGTGTGGCATTAACAATATCAAGGTGTGGTTTTAACAACTCTCTATATATAAATAGATTAAATAATTTTCATTAAAAATAAAATAGATCAATATAAAATGTATACCATAAAAGATATTTATAATATATAAGATAAAATTATTTTTCAAAATAGTACTATTTAAGAATTCAACATACAATGAATATAAATAAATAAATAAATAATCATAAATATATATATATATATATATATATATATTGTAGTAGAAACTTGTATCATTGGCTGAAAAAAATCACAATCTCAATTTGTAGCTTTTGAGATCCATGCCTAATGAGCTTGCAGTTCTACCCTTGGTAATTTGCAACAATAGCATGCAGATTTTGATCTCTAATTGATCAAAAGTTGAGTCATTGCTTCTCTTTTGATGAAAATAATGAGATATGTGGCCAATTAGAGATGGTTTTTGTCTCCTTTGGTTTATCCCCAATTTTTATATATAAAAATATATATATAGTGAATGAGACATGGTATTTGTGGGTGGAAAGAAGACGACCTCTCCTTCGTTCTTCATTATTTGTTGTTCTTCATTCTGCTGGCAGTGGGGGGGGGGGTCCATGCCAGGTCAACATGGGTCACGTCACTGGTGCCAGGCAGTCAGGTCCTCCTGCTGCTCCTCCACGGTGCCCTCCCTTTCCATTCCATGCCACGTGTGTATGTGTGTTCCGCCTCCAGCTGCCACTACTCGGGTGGGCACCTTTCCAACCCTTCTTCCTTCGTCCTTCTTCTTCGATCTCCCTTTCCTACTCTCCAACTCTCCTTCCCTCATCGTTTGTTTTCTCACCGTTCTCGTAGGTTTCTTACTTTCTTTCTGTCCAGGGATTCATTCTGCAGGGTCGCCCCTTTAGCGGCTTCTTGAGCGTTTGTAGCAGCCACATGGATATCCATACCATGGCCACCAAAATCAATCCCGCCACGGAATTGGCGCCAGCGGAGAATAAGAAGAAGGTGCTTGTTCCTGTGGCCAATGGTACTGAGGAGATGGAGGCTGTAATTGTGATCAATGTGTTGCGGCGAGCTGGAGCGACGGTGACAGTAGCTTCCGTGGAGGAGGGGATGCAGATCGCGGCGTCACGGGGCGTGAATATAGTGGCGGATTGTTTGATTTCGGAGTGCGAGGAGCAGGAGTACGATCTCGTGGCGCTGCCCGGGGGAATGCCTGGTGCGGAGAGGTTGCGGGATTCCAAGGCTTTGAAGAGCATCGCGGAGAAGCAGGTGAAGGCAAAGCGGATGATTGCGGCAATTTGTGCTGCTCCGGTTGTTGCTCTTCAGGCCTGGGGGCTTCTAAAAGGGCTCCATGCCACTTGTCATCCTAGCTTTACAGGGAAATTGGAGGACAAGGCTGCGGTGGAGAGTAGAATCGTGAGAGATAGTATACTGACCACCAGCCGTGCTCCTGGCACCGCGTTTGAGTTTGCACTGGCTCTCGTTGAGCAGCTATACGGTCCTGAGAATCTTCCCACGGTATCCGGTCCAATGGTGCTTCCACCTGATGACGGCACTGATGCTCGAGCATTGAAATTCAACGACCAGGAGTGGTCGACCTCGTCCACACCTCAGGTGTTGGTTCCGATAGTCAATGGATCTGAAGAGACGGAGGTTGTAATAATTGTCGATATTTTGCGGAGAGCTGGTGCAAAAGTGGTGGTGGCTTCTGTGGAATCTGAGGCAACAATCAAAGCTGCTCGTAATGTGCAGCTTGTAGCTGATACTCTTATTTCTGAAGTCGCTAATACGAAGTTTGATTTAGTAGTATTGCCCGGTGGCATGCCTGGTGCAGATCGCCTTCAGAAATCGAAAGAACTTATGAGGATTCTTCAAGAGCAGGCTGAAGAAGGACGAATATATGGCGCAATTTGTGCTGCACCGGCCGTGATTCTCGAATCCAGTGGTTTGCTGCATGGTAAGAAGGCAACATGCCACCCGACATTTTCGAGTAAGTTGAAGGATCAGACTGCTATGGAAGGGCGGGTGGTAATTGATGGACCTGTGATAACCAGCAGAGGTCCTGGAACTGCGATGGAGTTCACTCTCAATATTGTAGAAAAGCTCTATAGCCGCGTTAAGGCCCAGGAGATAGCTGAAGCAATGCTTTTCGACTATCTTTAAACTCTACGATTTTGGATTGAGAAAGTGGATGATCATGCTCTGAATGAACAATTTTGGTGAAAGCTAATCACACTAGGTTGAAGAAAGTTGTGTTAGCGTTGCAGGCTACTGTGGCGAATTAAGATCATCAGGCATTTAATTATATCCGAGAAGACCACCAACCCAGTGAAGTTCCCTGTTTGACTCTTTCTGTTGAAACTAGTTTTGATTTTGTTCAAAGAATCTTCATTATGTTTCGGTTTATTCTGTTAATCTGACTTTACTGTACATTTTTTACTCTCAAGGTTATAGATTTGTAAAATGTGTTCGATTTGTAGAGATACTGCCAGTATATGAGAGTATTAGTTGTGCTCCTGAAGTGGGTAGTTTCCAATTTAGTCGACAGGAATTGGAGAAGTTTCATCGGAATTGATCTGATCGGATTCATTATCTATGTCAAGTTCTCCAATGGCTGTAGCAATTTTGTATTTCCACCTTGAACTGTAGTTTTTGCATGTCATTACCACTGGGTTTTCTATGAACTTTATCCTTTTTTCAAGCTCTTGTTGTATCTGGTGGGAGGATGAGATATAAGGGAGTTGGGCATTGCTGTTGAGTATGGGCAGTTATGAGTCTTTTCTGAAGTTGAGCTGGTTCTCATGAAGGAAGAACATAGTACTCAGTAGGTTTTATGATTGGAGATATAACTTTATCTTTTTCTTTTCTTTCACTTGTTCAAGTTGAATTTTTTTGTAGATTTTATTTTATTTTATTTTATTTTTTAACTAATTTTATTCCCATCAATTTAAAAATGGAACAGTTACTAACTTGATAAACACCTAGATTTTTTACTAATTAAGTTTCTTGTAGGAATAAAATAGATTAGTTAGTGGCTTAATTGGTGGCTTGAATTTGTGGCAATTGTAGTTGTAGTAATGGCTACAATTAGTTTGGTATTTGAGATGTGTGATTAAAGTTTGGAAGAATCACAAGTAAACAAGCAAGATGATGTTAACCTTAAGTGTTGGATGTATTTGTGATATCATCTCCATGAAATAAAAATTAAATTTGAATACAAAGTGACACCTGGTGTTTGTTGAAGTCCATTAAAGCATTTGTTAACTTATTGAAATATAAAGGGGTAACTTGAGAACTTAAAGATCATTTCAGGCGTATCTTTTTTAATTTAATTTTTGTTAATTTACAAGTGATATATCTTGTTAAATTATTATTGAAACACAATTCAAAACCAACTTTGAGAGGCTAGATTATTTTTGTAACAAACTGGTGGGTAATTTAGTATATAAAAGGTCTTTGTGGAAATTAAAATGCATATAATTTTTTTATATAAATTTGATCACTATGGGTTTTTTTAGAAGGCTTTTATGGCAAGTTTATGCATATAAAATATATGTTTTTGGAAGTTGTATGATTTGAAATTACTTGAAATCTTTATAACTCTTTGTGATTTGTGAAGAGTTTTACATAGCAATTGAAGTATTATTTGAATAAAACGACTTTCCAAAGTCATCATAGAGCTTTCTAACATATTTCTTTGTTAGATGAGGGTACCCCAGAAAAGCTTCATATTGATTGATATTATAATTCTAGACTGGATTTATTCAAATTACAGTTTACAAAACTTTTGAATCACCCTGAATTAATATCCATGACAATTTTTAATTCTTTTCTTTCTTTTCCTTTTTTATTACATAGAAATTTTAGTATTTTAGACATGCAATTGTCTATCGTGAATTAAAAATAAATATTGGTTTGGATAGAAGACAAAATCTAATGTACATAAATACAAATAGTCATAAATTCATCTGAATTACAAAAGAAAAAGTTAGTGTAAAAAATCAATAAATTATAGATGTTATAATTGTTATTATTCACAGATTTTTTAAATAATTTATTAAGAATTTTAACATTTCTTCTAATTTAATGTTTGTATTGCTAAGATATCAACATATTATAATAAAACATGAATGAAAAGAAATGACGTTTTTTCATGTAGATTTTTTCACTACCACATGAATAGAAGATAAGAATTGCTATTATTAATTTTTAAAATATTTGTTAATTTTAGAAAATATAAACTTGTATTTGAATACTACATATTATAAATATACAATAGATTGAGACACTTAAAGCATTATTTTAAAATGAAGTGTGACAATCGTTTTTATCTTTCTTATATATGAGCGCCAACAAAGCCATGCAATGGCTATTCACAAGCAAATAACTTCTAAATAAAAAAATTTAAGTTAAACTTATTGTACACAGTTGCACGTAGAAAATAGTTAAGTATATCTAAATTTTAATCCTTGAAAAATCCAATTTGAACTAAACTTGTAAGTTTTGCTAAATCTGAATTCAAATTTAATGTGTATAATTCCAGCAGTAAATTTGTTTTATATGTGAAGCAACTACATGATATAATTCAAGCTCCATTCTAAATTCTACTGAAGCTTGATTTAATACAAGCATGATCACAGTAGCTTAAATTAGATTGCAGGTTGTATGTGATATGGAATGAAGAAATCATGTATTCATTTTGTCAAATATTTTTCTTGAAAAGCAATCCATGTCTTTAATTCTACATGTGTTGTATATTATAATTATATGAAGAATATTTAATATTTTACAGACGCTAAAAAATAGTACCAAACACAAACTTACATGACATGTCAGATATTAACTTATAATTTTTAATTTATTAAAGTTGGAAAGGTTGAAAAATATAATTGATTCTTATGATCTTTAATAATATACCAAGATAACTTTAATTTATTATTTTCTTTTTTGCTAAAAACCATATTTATACAAGAAACGGTCTACAGAAAAATGTTCTAAAGCATATCTTGCATAATTTTATTTTTGGACATTTTTAATTATAAAGTTATGATGTTTAATTGTAAACCATTAAAATTTCCAATTATTGTACCTTTTATTTTGATTTTGATGAAATTAAGAAAATGCATATCTATATATGAATTACATGATTTGACTCATTTATTCATATATATTATCCTTCTTGACTTAAATTTCATTAAAAAAAATCATTTTGATCCTCAAAAACATAAATAATAATAGGATTTCAGTTTTCATTATGTGTTAATTTTCTTTAAAACTGAACATTGAAACAATGTTAAAATGTTTCTGAATTATTTTTTTGTGATTATATGCATATGCTTATAAGGATAGATTGATATACACAAGTAGGAAATGTTAAGGTAGGAGTTTTTTTTTTTTTTTTTTTTTTTTTTTTTAAATATTACATGTTAAAAAAATTATAAATAATTGGAGCTAAGTTTTGTAAAATAATTTTCTAGAGAGATTATGCCTAAAGATTTTTGGGTGCCATTGTTAAAGGATTTTGTTCAGTTGAATAATTCTTCAGAATATAAATTACACCAAGATAGAAGAACAACCAACCTTCCCACTTTCCAATTGTCTTTGCATATTCATCTATTATTGTATCTGACATACATTAGATTTAAACACTTTCAATACAATTTTGAAATACGTGAACTGATAATATAATCACAAAACTGAAAACTAAAAAAACTAAACAATATAAATAAATTGAATGATTTGAAGATTGATTTTTACAATGTTTCATGTAAACACAAGAATGAGAATGAACCAGAAAGAAATTTTAATGTAAGATAGCATCTTTGATTCCATAATTCAGAGAAAATAAAAGAAAAAGAAAAGAAAGAATATGAGAAGGAATGGAAAATGTCTTGGGTTGGAAGAGAAGTGAAGAGGAGGGAGGAAGGGAAGGGAGGGATGGGATCACTTACTTTGTAAGAAAGAGTAGCCGGAAATGTTATGAACCAAGAATTCACGGAATGGGCTTCTTGTGTTGGGTAAAAGAGCAGCTATGTGTGGTGCTGCTGATGCTGCTTGTCTATTATGGAGCAGTGGAGGAGGAGGAGGAGGAGCATAATAATGCCTCAACCTTCTTTTCTCTTCTTTGGCTTTGCCATGTTTGGACTTAGACTTGGACTTGGATTTGGTGCATGGGGAAACGGGCATCATGAAACTAGAGCGTTTCTTAGGGGACTGTGTCCTCCTCCTCATCCTCCTCAATGGCCTCTTTTTTCTCCCCTTCTTCATTCTTTTTGTCATCTCACATGCGGACTTACTCCACTCTCCCTTCTCACCCACCTTGCTTTCTATCCATGATTCCAATAATATTAGTAACACCAAACTACATACTTCTTCTTTGTCTTTTTCTCTTTACTGCATTCATTTGAACCCTCAAATCATTACAACAATGCTTGCTTGCATTCTTCCCTCATTGATATTCACATTTATTTATTTATTTATTTATTTTGTTCATGGTTGACAATTTACTGTTTTTACAAATCTACATTTTTCAATGATGTATGTGATTACAGTATTTTCTCTGGTCTATTGATTATTTTTCATATTATAACTTTGTCATTTTTTCAAAAATATTTCAATTCTTGTAAATATAAAGAAAAACATAAGAAGATATTCTACAACTAATACAAATCACATATTGAACTCAATCATTTCAAGTTGTTTAGTTTTGCAAAAACTATAACTAAATTTTTTTGCAGAGATTGTTCTTAAACTTTGAAAGGTTGCACCTTTTAATAACTCTTTATCTGGAGTGAATTAAAGATTATTAACATAACTGTTTTTTTTTTTTTTTTTTTTTTTTTTTTAAATGTATGTTTTAAAATTTCTGATGTAATACGTTTCAATTATTTTGAGTTTTTTCATGATTTGTATTTTATACAATAAAAAACATATATATATATATATATAGATATATATATACACACACACACACACACAAGGGTTCTAATTTTCAACTTGCTTATTTTACATTATTAATAATTTTTTAAATTTTTTTTAAAGGTTTTTCACTTAAACATCAAAGGATGTAGTTCTTAGACATACTTCCTTTGATGTTTAATATTAGGTTTTCTGCATCTTCATGTCTCTTTAATACAAGAATATCCAAGATTTCACTACTATTACACCAAAAGCACAGAATGACGTGTTAGTTGAAATTAAAAGAAAAATAATTTCTCTTTGTAAGAATTCCTCTTTGTTCAGTTTTACAGAGGATTCTCCGTAGCGGTCATGTTCAAGTATGAGAGCGATCTGAACAGTGAATTGAGTAGTTCTTTAGTGAAGGATTTAAGATTTGATTTGTTGATAAAATCTGCATCTCAATCAGTGAAGAAAATGGGTGCGGCGTTGTGGGACATAACTTAATGATGAAGGACATTTTGAATCCCGTGGATTACTCCAAACTCATCAATGCAGCAACCATGTCGATGTAGGTGTCATGACATACTGAATTACGCCAAGGGAGTGTGTTATTTAAAAGGAATACAATATCATGAAATCCGAGGGTATTAACATGAAGCAATTTTGGGTCCTGGGTTCCAGTTGATTGTCCTTAGACACATTCTCCAGTGGTAATTTTTAAAGGGCTTGTGAAACTGAGTGATACATAAGTGTATCACTCAGATGCATTGTGTTAAATTGGTTCGATATGTTTGAAGCCTT